TTTATTCTTATTTCCAGCCGGTCTAATTCCCATTTCGTCTACAATTCATAAAGTCTAATAATAATTTAATCATAAATAATGATATTTGTCAAATTATTATTAGACCTTATGGATAGTAGACGAAATGGGCATTACACAAACTGGAAATTAGACTAACTGGTTAGTAAGATAAAGGAACAATATACCAAATGGGTAGTAGACTTTTGACGATAAGTCTAAATGGACATTAGACCAAACGGATTTAAACTTAAATGGACATTAGACCAAATGATAAATAGACAAAATGATAACTATACCATAATGTTCGTTTTTTACTATTTAAAAAAAAAATGAAAATCGGATGGTGACGTCGGATTTTCCCGAAAATTATGTCATTTTTATTTATGTCCACATCAACACAACGAAAATATCATTCGTATTTACCCATACCAAGTTTTGTAATTTCAAAGTTTGACTTGTCCCAACTAACGTTTCATGATAATGTGACATATTAAGGCTTACACTATGAAAAAGGGCCCCAATTCAACAAGTAATAACCTTTCATTCTTGAGTTACAATAAACAACCCAGAAATATCAGATTTACCAGGGGTATGAATAATTAAGTTCATGTTCACTGTATGCGACATGGACCGTAATGTGACTAATCAACTTGATACGTCATAATCATGTGAAGTGAAACTTTGCACGTCACCTAACGTGTGAGTATGCTTACTAATATTGGATCAGCTAGGACTTTGAAACAGATCATTGATATTTACTCAATTTCAATCTCGGATACTAAAGGTCGAGTACATGAAGTGTGTGGGCGTATGAGTTCGGTGATGGAGGGAATATTAATAGAGACAAATTATAAAAACCGGCAAGATTAAAGATGGGTGTACGAGTTCGTTGATAACGCCATCTTCGGCGTCTTGCAGCAAGTGTTATATTAATAGAGATACATTTTAAGAACCGGCAAGATTAATGCTGGGTGTACGAGTTCGTTGATAACGCCATCTTCGGCGGCGTGCAGCAAGTGTAGGGACTATTACAGAGATACAATATTATAAGAATCGGCCAGATTAAGCTACGCGTACGAGTTTGTTGAAAACGCCATCTTCGGAGTCTTGCAGCAAGTGTAGGGACTATTAATAGAGATGCATCATAAGAACCGGCAAGATTTATAATGCTGGGTGTACGAGTTCGTTGATAACGCCATCTTCGGCGGCTTGCAGCAAGTGTAAGGAATATTTCGGCCAGATTAAGCTGGGTATGCAAGTTCGTTGATAACGCCATCTTCGGCGGCTTGCAGCAAGTGTAAGGAATAACCGGCAAGATTAAGCTGAGCGTACGAGTTCGTTGATAAATTATCAATAACTCATTGCATTTTACCCCTGTCCCCAACATTAAAAAAAATCCTCTGTACGGCCATGCATTATGGCTCAAGGCATAGGCACACAGAAGATTTTGCTGTTGGGGACCGGGGGGGGGGGGATTCAATGAATTATTGATAATTTATTGCATTTTCTTCTTTTTTATTTGTGGGAACTGCCTCCTACCCTAGCCCCCGCTGCGTACAGTCATGGTTCAGTGACAAAGCAATGGCCTCATAACTGTGAGGCCCCAGGATCAAAACCGTGTCGATGTGCTATATTAGTGCCCTTTTGTGGGGTATTAATCGTCATTACTGTCATTTATGACTTAAGGGCGTAGGTCCCCTAGTTGATAAGCATAGTAGCATACACATGCATTAGCAGTCACGCAAAACAAACACTGGCAAATTATTATTCAATACAATCTGAGAATGTATACTATTATCTAGATCTATTAGGAACAAATCATTGTCAAAATATTTCCATAAATTGGGGTAAAAACAAAATATATCAACTTTATGCATGCGAAAAATGGTAATATTTTACGGAACGCCAAAAAGTATAACCAACAACATCATTATCCATGGGCATATTGCTGTTATCTCGAAAATGTAGGCAGAGGCGTGAGGAAAAAAAAAAACGAAAGCAAAATTAATGTATTGTCTACTAAGCCATTACAAACTTCGTAAAGCATTTGCAAAGTTTGTGCGAGAATGGAGTATGTGTTTCTTGTAATGCTTCAATGCAAGTCAAACTTTTAAACTCTGAAAGGAGTAAACACCGATTTAAGGGAACATGGTCATTGAACTTAATGATCTTCTTTTGATATCGCGTCAAGTAAATTTTTGCACTCGATTGGCATGAAATACAACTACATTCACAAGTCGTCAAACCATGCTTTGTGCATTTCCTATGTTGAAGAACAATTTAGAATGGCACTTTGTTTATGTTATAAGTAAATCAAACAGTAAAAGTGAACATGTAATTTATAATTCTGTCAACTTCACAATTGGGCTTTGAAGATGATCATTATGTTGTTTGCCCTTCGGAGAGCCTTTCCCATTTAACTCTTAACAATGCCTTGATTTAAACAATGTAAGTTGCAATATGCGCATGCATGCTCCCACCCCTTCCCCCTTCACTCTCCCTCCCTCTCTCCACCCTATTTAGTTCTCTCTTCCGTACTCTCTCTTTCTCTCTCTCTCCCTCTTTAGTTCTCTCTTCATTACTCTCTCTTTCTTTCTATTTCTCTCACCATTCCCCCCTCCCTCTTTTTGAATACATTCCTCTTCAATACACAAAAATATCTCTCTCGCAAATGCTCCTCTCCGTTACATGTATTATCATGTATTTGTAACCCCCCCCCCCTCCCCCTCCCCCTTCAAACCTGCATTATATGCCACTACAAATCTATGTCCCGTCCCTCTGGTGTTAAATTCATGCCTGTACCCGTTGATGACAATGGGTTAAAACATGACTGTATAATAATTATACCCTCCATGCACCTTGATTAACTTTCGAAAACACTTTACGCATGAGAGAGGAATCAATGCCAGACGTATATTCCAATGATTTATTTAAGCATTTTATTGCAAACTCTATGATTATCTTGCAAGTAAGATTATATTAAGCCGATTAACGATCTGTTAGAGAAATAGACATTAATGATATATTGAGAAAGACAAAGATAAGGTATTAGTAGATTGCATATTCAAAATGTAATAACAAGTCAAGTCACTTTACATCTTACATAATATTTCAGAGTATGATCTACATAAATTTCCCCCGCCATTGTAATATACAGGGTGACAATTGCATATAATTTAAAATATCAAATATCATTTCTACGATCAACTAACATTTGTCAAGTGTTATACTGAGAGCAATACATACATTTGCAATTCGAGGATACACAGAAATCAAGAGTTGCTTGATTTGGTATGCCAGCTAAGCCCATATGAGATTTTGCCCGCAGATACGCCTGCATACTGTACATGCGATTATTGCTTATTTACGTTCAATTCGAAGAGCATTTATGTATATACAGAGTACTATAACGATTGATGTAACAAGCGCAAAATAATACATGTTCATCTATTCATTATGTTGTATTAACATATCAAGAAATTACGAAAGTACCTTTCATAGTTAATATTTGTATTCCCGGTGTATGACCACATCTACGTACAGCCAAATGAGTTTCTGTTATTAAATAAGCTAACTGGCTATATGTTCTACTGTATTGGCCTACACCTACCATGTCTACATCTAAGTCTTCTTTCATAATCTGCGTTTAACCTAAATTATTCAGGAAATGAACAATAGATCAGTTAAAATATGTTTAAGGTCGCAATATTAATAACGGTACTATGGAAAACGACATAAATTTAGATATAAGACATATTGAAAGATACTATGGATAAAATCAGAATTATAATTGCAAACATTACAACGAACAATTTTAGCTTCAACACCAAAGGTATCATAGGAAAAAAACATGTAGCAAATAATATACAGCAATGTAATGTCACAATGGTAGGATGCATGGTATGCTTCCACCACGGTATAAAAAGGTTTTAGAAGAGATGTTCTTTAACAAATTTCATGATATAATGACTTTTTTTTCTCTCTCTCTCATTTTTTCCTCTTTTTTTCTTTTTTTAGTTTTAATGCATTCAAAACATTAAAAGCAGTTACAGATATTTTTGAGATCTGGTCTTTGCATCCCCCCCCCCGGCCCCAACAGGACAAATCACTCTGTAGGGCCATGCATTATGGTTCAAGGCATGCCCACATAGAGGATTTTTTAATGTTGGGGGTCGGGGCAAAATGCAATGAATTATTGATCATTTATTGCATTTTTTTTTTGTATTTGAGGGGCGGCGACGTACCCTATAGTCCCCGCTGCGTACAGTCATGATTCATTGGCTAAGCAATGGCCTCGTTGCTGTGAGCCCCCAGAATAAAAAAACGTGTCGATGTGCTATATTAGTGCCCTTTTGTGAGGCATTAATCCTCATTTCTATCAGTTATGACTTAAGGACGTAGGTCCCCTAGATGATTAGCATAGTAGCACACACATGCTTTAGCAGGCACGCAAAACAAACACTCAAAAATTATTATTCAATAAAATCTGAGAATGAATACAATTATCTAGATCTATTAGGAATAAATCATTGTCAAAATCATTCCATAAATTGGGGTAAAAATAACTATTCCACCATTATGACCAACAGTGTACATTAAGAAACATCAAGCTCTGCATGCCATTCTTGCAATATTTTAAAAGATTCACATCGTTGAAATTGTGTGTGCGGTGTTTGGATACAATTCGGTTCGGTTAATGATTATGAAGGTGTTCATGGACCATGCAGACGTTCCTCGACCACGTCACCGTGTTCATGGACAAACAATCATTTGGCGCTAAAGACCAGTCATCCTGATGAAGGGTCCCGGAGTGGACCTGAAACGTCGCAAGCTAAAATAATGTTAGTAAACGTGACTTCATGAAAGTTCTCTGGTGATTCCTTATAAACTTAGTGCTTTCTGGGAAATATCCATTACTATCTTTACCAGGAAAATGAGCAATATTTTCTCTGGGGATGTATCAATAAGAAAGAGTTGGGAAATCAGATCTTCTTCGTTACTTATGATTCCGCCTACATGGCTTGTATCCAAGGTGGTGGAATCCTCGTTGGGTTTCCCATCATAAGATACCAGAGGGGCTATCTCAGACATGTCTTCAGGTAGGTCTTGCATTTCATGGCTGGGCGATAGTTCAGAAGGTTGAATGCTACTAACGTTGTTCATATCATCACCAGGATGAACTTCTTCAGATGACACTTCTTCAGAAGTCACTTCATATTCATCCAAGTCCTCTGTACTGCGCTCCGATGCTTGGTCAAGATGTTGACTCCTACTTCCATCTGTCAAGTCCTCCTGGGTTTTGGAAGCTATGTTTTCTGTATGCCCATCTCGAAGAGTGTGGTTACTGCTTGCTGTAGCATCCTGAAGTACCTGGATGTCAGTGTGTCCTTTGGTCCGGTCCACTTCTATAGAGGTATCATCTCTATTAAAGAGCTGCTGATCATTGACATCTTCGTTGGCATATTCGGCATTGATCTGTTCTTCTGCTACACCTGATCGGAAGCAAGAAAGAAAACAAATATTTTTCCCCTCAACATACATAGAATCGGAATTATCATGATTGTGTAGAACTTATCGCAATGAATTTCAAATTTCTTTTATTTTGATGGTAGTAGCAGGCACGTAGCCAGAGTTTGATGTTTGGGGGGGGGGGGGGCACATACATGTAATCGATCGAGGTAACAAAAAAAAGGGGGTCTAAAAAAGTTCAACCGATCTTGGAAATTTTGGGGGGTTGGGGGCACGTGCCCCCCCCCCCCCCCCCCTGGCTACGCGCCTGGGTAGTAGAAGAGAACTTGAAGTTACAAGTCAGCGTCTGTTTGGCTTTTTCGTGTGTACAGCCATAATAGGGAAAATGCTAACTGAAAGTAGTCCCTAAGCTCTCTTTTTCTTAATTTTCTCTGCATTACGTCACCTTGGTATTTATATCAGTAGTGTAAATGTGGGAAATGAACTTGCTACAGAAAATACTATCAATATGACTCTTAACACATGGGCCGTTTTATACACCAAATATAACATCATGTTGCTGAAGTGTTGCATGGGGTCTTTATTACGAAACTACAATTGTTCTTAATGAAAATATACATTACCTTCGCTGAAATACAGGTCTGCAAGGTCGACCAACTTGGCAGCTTTTAGTGCCTTCGTTAGCACAATCCGTTCATCTTTCCTGGACACACCTCTTCTCCATTGTTTCAGCATATGGCGAGATCCATCACTGGTAACACGGTTGAACTTCACATTGGTCATGAGCGCTCTTTGTATATCACCATGTAGGATTCCCAGCTGACCAGCAAGGCTGTCGATCTTGGCTTCATCGTAAAGATCGTCAGCTATCTGCTGTAATATACCTGCAAACTCATCATCTGGGGGCTCCTCTCTAGAATCGTACACAGTAATACAAAAAAAGAAAAACATGGGGGCGGTCATAAAAAGTAGGTTTGACGTATCAACTTAAAAAAAGTAATTTAAATCTTTACTTCGGTGAAGAAAAAATAACGGGAAAAATGCGTTTTTCCGGTGATGAGACCATACTCAAAATGCTCAAATCATTGATATCAATTCATTAAAGGATTTCACTTTTTATCTTGAATCACCATAGACTAGAATGCAGCCAAGATTTCCATTGTTTTTGCTAATGATTTTCTTTATTTTTATTAACTTCTGCTTTAACACAATCACAGGTGGTTATGACATTTCTAAACATGATTTTGGATTCATAGAAAATAAGTGCTGCCGTACTTTTATAACTGTTATTGACAGTCTAGCATCACTCATTTTATACACAAAAGTGCATTCCATAGTAGTTTTGTCACTATAAGATAAATAATGCGTTCATTGTCAAGTAAAGAGTAATTATATTTCATCTCACCCTGCTTGTAATGTATCACTCATTCCCAGTCCTCCGGTTGAATTATCCTCACATGATGATGTGCCTTTCATGAAGGAATGGCGTGAGTTTGAATGAGAACAAAAATATAAGAGAAATCTTTTGAATGACTTTTATCGTTCACTGTATCTATATGTGTCTTTTTAACTTCTAAAGTGTAAATAATGCGCAATCACATAGCTCTATTTTCCTTGGATAATGTAACCGGAGGGGGTTATTTTTGACATAATAACCCCCAAAAAAGAAGAAACATATACGTTTGGGTTTAGGAGCATTATGGACTGTGATAAGCTCGATATTTAAAGTATTTTCAAAGTAGCAAAAATAGGAGAGGGAGCTCTAAAGACCATTATTGGACTTGATAAGCTTCACATTATACATTTTTAAAAAGTGGCACAAGTGGAATATGAGTTATATATAGTATTATGTATAATAAAGTAAAAAGGAGTTGAAAGGGAGAATGAAAATAAAGTCTTACCACCCTGAGTTTGCTTTCCAGAAGTCACCCAAGGAATGAAACTCCATCGATGTGTCTCTGCTTTCTTCTTCTGCTCTGCTGATCGTATCTCACTTTCTAGTTGAATTTTGGTTCTCAGCTTCCAGGTCTCAAGCTCCAGTTGCTCCAAAAGATGTTCCTTATAGCCATACTTCTTCTTTAGCTCTTCCAATTGCTGTCTTAAAGTCGTCTCATTTCGCTCCTTTTCCCCTACGATCTCTGTCAAATAGTCTACGCTTTGTTGCTTAGACTCGAGTTTCTTTGTCATATTTGCAGCCAATGAGAGCCGCTTTTCCTCAGCCGTTGCACTGTCTCCCTCTCTTCCTTTATTTAGCTCCTCAACTCGATGTCTTAAATTCGTCTCATTTCGCTCTTTTCCCTCTACGGTTTCTGTCAAAGTGTCTACGCATTGTTGCTTAGACTCAAGTTTCTTCGTCATATCTTCTGCCAATGAGCGCTTCTCTTTCTCAGCTCTTGCACTGTCTTCCTCTCTTCCTTTCTTTAGCTCTTCAAATTGCTGCCTTAGAGTCGTCTCATTTCGCTCTTTCTCCCGTACGGTTGCCATCAAAGTATCTACATGCTGTTGCTTAGACTCGAGTTTCTTCGTCATTTCTGCTGCCAATGAGCGCTTCTCTTTCTCAGATCTTTCTCTGTCTTCCTCTCTACCTTTCTTTAATTCCTGTTTTCGCTCTTGGACCTCTGTGACCATCTTCTGATTAGCTTCTTTAGCCTCTTTCTTGGTTTTCCCATTGAGCAACCTACATCTTGGATTCGTGCATATCTTCTTCAGATCATTAGTTGCTAACGTTCTATCACCTTCGTTAAGGCACCCACGTAGAAGGTCAAGCAACTGCAACTTATCCTCATCTGAGTGAACTTCATCAGTGAAAGGTATTTCGTACATAGCAGTGACCCCGAGATGCTTCAACTCGTTTATCGCTTTGGGGATGTCTCCGTCAGAAAGAATAGCACATAGAGGGATGCAGCCTATTCAATCGAAACATATTCAATGAGTTTACTCGAAATTCCGTCCGAAATCATGACATCTACATACTACACATACGTCACATAATATCTTTGTTTCCGGGGGGGGGGGGTTGACACAAAGGAATAGAGAAAATCTGAAATGCGTGTTCATCTATGTGTGTTTTTATCAGTATTCTCAGTGGCATCGAATTTTCTGCTTCATTCACGTTGTACAAAATTTAATAATGGGCACAAGCGAGTAAGAAAAGTAGGGAGGGAGAGATAGAGATAGAGAGAAGAGTGTACAGGAAGGAGACTGAAGATGAGCCGGTATAAGGAGTAAATGAAGTGAGTAATGAGATAGTAAGACATTAACAAGTATAATAATGCAAATGAAATGTAATATTCATGGTAGGAAATTTAATCCCGACAATCATGATAGAATAGACTCGACATATTTTTTTCATTATATTGTTTAACTATTACATCTTCAAGGAAAAAAAAGGATGAACATTATTGGGAAATCTAAAGATCGGTACTTAGTGAAAATTTATTAATGAATGAGATTAAGACCACGTTTTAACTTAAACTTTAACATTTATCACCCCATGCATGCCTCAGCTCAAAATTAGAAAGCTGTATCCAGTACAAGGAAAATGGATATTAAGTACCAAATTCCATGTGATAGTATACAAGTAGATAAGTGGAAGGTATATTTATATTTTATGCTTAAGTTATGTTTCATCCAAATATAATATCATAATCGTTTCACATTTTGTTATGTTCAAATTGGACTTATGGACTTATATCTCACACGTATTTCCATGGTCAGCTGATTAAAGTCAACCATGTCAACACGGGGGCGGATAGATTTAATTTTTTTTTTTTTTTTTTGGGGGGGGGGGGGGGGGGGAATGGTACATAGTACACACCATGCCTGTTTCAAATGAACTAACAGGACGGTCTCAAAACCCTAAATCTGGTAAAATCACCGTGATTATTCGGTTGGTTACCAACCGAGGACATTATATGATATGTGCATGCACATAAAATGTAATAGAACAAAATGAAACTTGTCCAAGCACTACAACGGATGGTATGATTATCAAATTAATGGGGAAATATTGTTATTACGTAGGCCTATTATACATACTAATACAGATATTGCACCGTAAGCTTAAGAAAAGGTAAGTATCAACGTGCAATTTACGAAGAAAGGAAACGGTATTTAATTTACAAAATGAACGGAAGGAGGGCTTGTAAGAGTCCACGATACCAACGTGATCAGAAGTAATGGTGTGTAATTAATATGGATAATATAGAAACCTTTGATAAGTACTTGATGTGATGGTCATATTGCTAGTAGAAATTTGCATCTAACATAAATCAAATAATGGTTGTTCCTCGTTTCTTTCATGTCCTATTCATTACTGATAAAACATTATTGTTTAGCAAGTGTCATTATTGTTAGATACCTACACATTTAATAACAGTGCAAATAACACTTAACATCATATACGTAAACAAAGTTTAACAACCTGCATATAAAAATGATTCATGCGTTATAGTAATCTGGCTAGTGATATAATATAATTATTCATCTCTTCACTTATTCATTCTTGAAATTAATACGTAGGTGTAATATATCAATGTCTTGTGGTGTATACGGTGTGTATCAGCAGTGCAATATCTTATTTGTTCAAAATTGTTTTAACATATTTTATTATCATACCTACCATAAAGAATTAGTGGCAAACTCACCTGTTATCTTCTTTATTGTCTTGATCCATTCTGTGTAATAATAATTATAAGACGGCCTGAAGATGTAAATGGGAAAATGCACAGATTCAGAATAGTTATTATTCGCGTGGTGATGATTCAAGGGTTAATGATAATAACATGCATAAACCTAATGTTGCAACCGACCACCTTCCGAAGGCCACCTCAAAAAGATAAATTGTATGTATTTGTTATACACTACAATTATAATAATCGTTCATAGTGTTCTAACACGCAAACCTTATCCATATCACAATGAAAATATTCTGGCTCAGTCGGTACTCTCCATCGAATGTAATATAAGATGCAATGTTTCTCAGCATTCTGTGTAGTATAGGCGTCGGATGAGGGGGCAGGTGCTTCCATATAACGAATATCTCTTATCACAGTAAAGACGCTTCAACGTGCAATTATCTGACTTGTTGTACGTTTGTTTCTTTGTTTCAAGTAATAATACTAGATTTCGACCCCCTCAATGGGTACCTTCTCCAGACCCAAAATCGAGGTTTGGGACAAGTACTAATCTTTACAAAAGGAGGTAGAAATTAGTGTTTGCTTTCTTTTTTGTACACTCATTATTTTGCCCCCCCCCCCCAAAAAAAAAAAAAAAAAAAAAAAAAAACAGTGGGAAATACAAACTTTCATGATTCAGAATCAGATTTGTTTTTCTAACTTGACCGCGGGGTTCTCGAGTATACCCACAGAAAGAAATATTTCCAAAACCTACACACTTTATGCCAAAGCCCTGGAAGTGTGCAGGTAGGGGCTTACTGTATATTAGGGGTAAAGGTAAACTCATGTTTGTCGCACGACACGCGTATCAACATTGTTATACATGTAATTCATTTAAACAAATGCGGCATATCGATAAGTTCTACAATGTTCTAAGCGCTCTCTCCTAAATTTAATTCTTGTTCCTCGCACCTACGTAAATCGCATATTAATACATGGAATATTTCTTAACCGTAAGCTTAAATTCGCTGAAAGCTATATCTGCTGAGAATGGCAAATGCTCAATATCTTTTTCATGATTTTGAAGTAGGCTGTAATTGGTCTGTGTGTGTGAATGTAGTCTTGATTAAAATTAATTGCAGTACCGTAGACGCGTGCGAGGGTGTTTTTTTGGCTCGGTCGCTACGCTCACTCTCCTTGTAATAAACTTACTTTAAAGTGATAAGATCCTAAGTACTATAGAGAAAGTGTTTTGTTAGGAATGCTCTGTCTTATGTATTAAAATGGAAATTCTGAATATTCTTTTCTTTGCTTGTGCGTTTAAAAATTTCTGAAGCAAAGTGTGATTCAAAACCCTTTGAGTCCCATTAGGCCTGTGGATGTTATTCTTGGCAGTCCTCCTTTTCTACATTCCCCCTTTACCCTACCCGTCTACGTTATCATGCCTAATGAGTGATGAACACATCAATCGATATTGATATACAAATAGGACTGCTTGTTTCGGCGGGTTTTGGGGTATATCCACGTAGTAAGCTTAGTTTCTTTACGGAGTATATAAACATGTCAAAAATCGAATGCCCTCACAATGTTTACCCCCTCCTTTTCAACATCCCCCTCAAAAGACAATGCTAAAAAGTTTCGACGTGCCTGAACATAATATATACAAAGTGCGTAGGAACTGTAATCGTTCGTAACGGGCATTTAAGAACTTCCTTCTCCTTACCCCCCCCCCCCCACCTCCCTCTCTTCCTCTCTTCCTCTCTCTCTCTCTCTTCCTCTCTCTTCATCCCCCTTTCTTCCCCTCTCCATCTCTCTCTCTCTCAATTTCCTCGTTATTTTGTTCATGTTAGGTATATCAATATTCATATTTTAGTTTCTTTGCGCATCTTCTTTTGAGTATCTCATCCCATTTCTTCTTCAACCCACTCACTTGTCTCTTTCTCTCTTTTGCTGCCTCCCCGTCGCCACCCCCTTACCCCCTCTCTCCCTCTTTCCCTCGCTCTCTCTCTCTCTTTATCCCCTTCTATCAACTTTGTAATGAGGATAATATCATATTAGCATGTTCATTATGAGTCGTCTTAGTTACGTAGCGATATGAAGAACAAGAACAAGAAAAGAAAGCATAAGAGATGTTCAGTTTATCGGAGATCATTAGGAATAATAACAATCATTATTTAAACATGTTAATAAGTAAATAAGATCGTTTGATCGACCTGTAATTGAAAAACAAGTCAGAAAAAAATCTTGGAACCAGCGGGACTTGAACCTGCATCTAACTGCTTGCCGGGTAGCGACTCTACCACCAGGCCAACACTGGTCCATGGCACAGTCACGATGAACTAGAAACAAATACCCAAGCTCTCCTGATTCTTTCTGACTTGTTAATATTCATTACTCCGCCATAGGACAATAACTTTTATAAATGTAATGCTTCCTTGTAGAAATTGTAATGATTTAAACATATTTGTGACTTACACCCAGTAAATAAGTTGATCGATCTGTAATTGAAAAACAAGTCAGAAAAAACCCAGCGGGACTAGAATCTGCATCTACTGCTTGCCGGGCAGCGACTCGACCCTTTGCACTTCACCACTAACCCTCGAGATAAATATAGGCTAAAAAATAGGTAAGATGCTAGAATGTTGAAATTCCTTCTAAATTGTTAACCATATTTGTGTACACTCCAGCGCAAAATTTGACAAGAGCCTAATTAAACACATTTCAATTAGAGCAAAGCGATTATAATAAATGTGGACCCCTTCGTATGGAATATGCTATGTTGAGGTGAAGAACTACACGATCCCGAATCAGCATTATTATACAATAGATCAAAACGACCATGATTTTGAAAATAATCGTGTTTTAAAAACTTCAACAAATCCTTTTCCAGTGCACCGTTTGTTTTGTAACTTGGGGTCTATTCTCATTCGGGGAAATTTTTTTTTTTCTACAGTTCTTCTTCTTCTCTGTCTTACCTTTATAATTCTCTGCCTCCATATATATAGGCATACGCCATTGTCGATACATGATTAAAACAAAAGTGAGTTCACTTTCTTTCGTTCTTTTTCTTTCCTTTTGAATGCCACATGTGAAACTTTAAATAACTTCTTCGTCCGAAAACAAATCATCTCGAGATTATTCCCGAAAATTACTTGCTTTTCCGAACCGGTTCTCATGATAGCGCCGTCACTCGGCTTAATGCGTATAGTCGGCGAATAAAACAATCAATATAAAGGGTCCAGAACTACACTCAGTGTAAATTGGCGTGTGGTCTAATAGGCGGAGCCCCT